GGGCCCGGCCGGGCAAGATGGCGGATGGGGTGTTGAGCCCCGGCGTGAACCTGGAGGCCTTCTCCCAAGCCATCGCCGCTATCCAGGCGCTGCGCTCCAGCGTGACGCGGGTCTTCGACTGCCTCAAGGATGGGATGCGGAACAAGGAGACCCTGGAGGGCCGAGAGAAGGGCTTCGTGGCCGCCTTCCAGGAGAGCCTGCACTCCGTCAGCCGCGACCTGGGGTGAGCAGCTGGCCCTGAGGGGGGCTTCTTCCCTCCGCCTCGGTGTGCAGCCCAGCCCCCGGGGAGGGAGAGGGGTCCCTGGGTCCCTCCCAGCCACCCCTAGGGCCTGGCCCTTAGGAGGTGCCCGGCGGTGCCGTTCTCGCTCCTCGGGAAAGTTTTAGGCAAATAAATGTGAAAACGCTCCGGTTTATTCCTTCCAACATCATGCGTGTTACCGCTTTGTGGTGTTTCGTTCCGGAGTCTCCGCAGGGATGAAACTGCTCCTAATATTTACCTGTTTGCTGTCCTCGTTTTGTTTTAACAAAGGAGCTGTCAGTGGGATGGCGTTGGTGAGGTGAATGCTTTTGGTTGCAGGGAGATACTTCTCTGGTTTTTGAGGTGTTACGTTAAAAAGGAACAAAACCAAAAAAACATCTGACTCATTTTAGACTTACTATTCAGTAGTATCCAAGTGGTTCAAGAATGACCATTTTATTACCAAAGCTTGTAATGCAGGAAAATCACTACACACAAGTATAGTTGTTTAGTACCAGGAGGCGTGTTTCGTGCAGATAGAGACAAACTGTTGAGGCTGATGCTCCATGTGGATCTGCTGGAGGGCTGTTGAGTTCCCTCATATCCTCTGGGAGCCATCAGTGCTGCCCATGAGGTGTCTAAGGGCAGGGTGAGCACAGAAGCACCCTTTCCCAGCACATCTTCTGGCCTCCAGACAGCGAGCCTCCAGGGTCTGGTGTACAAGAATCTGTTTCTTACAAACCATGCTGAGTTTTAGTTCTGATCATGGGAATAGAATTTGCCTGCTTCTTTCCTTCTGTTGGGAAAGGTGGTAGATAATAATGAATGATGTTGTACACAGATTATTATAGACTTTGGTTGTATCACTTTGGGTTTAATTGCTTTCAAGTTGAGGAGGCTTCATGTTTGCCTACTGCTGCTTTGCAGTTTATCATCCAGTATTTCAGTGCTGTGAAGTTCTTGAGCAATCCTTACTACCATACCTGTGAGTGTCTTCATCGTTAACCTTCACCAGTTCCTTTTTCACCATCTCTTCCACAGCACTAGTGGATGTGCTTAGCAGTGCTTTGACCATTTCTTTCCTCATTCTTTACAAGAAAACTCTTAAAATAATTCAGAGTATATTTAATTTGTCTGTTTTGAAACACACTGCTCCCAAATATTGCAATTTATATAGCATCTGTGTTACATATTCTGTTACATGTTTGAGAATCATAGATCTCAAGCAGCAAGGGAATACTCTAAGGTGTATTGAAGTTAATGTTATCAGTAGACTTCAGCTCACATCATGAAAGTATGGACAGGGATCTCCTCAACAAATCCTTAGCTAGTAAGTCTATTCACATTTGTTTAATTGTAATTTATCAGGAAATATTAAGCATATCCATGAGTGTTCACCATGCCAGAGGCTTAGAAAGAATGTAGGCCATGGAAACTGGAAGGAAAGATGATTAATGAAGGAGAATCTTGTGGTGGTGAAGTGTGGAAGTCTTATAACTGTCAGTTCCCTGATTGTTGGTGTTTATGAAAATAAACACCATATTTGCATTATTAAATGCAAATTGGGATAGTTGGGATATTTCTTTACAGAGGTTTTTCAGAAATCACCTTTTGAAGGGTCTGAATCCTGCTTTTAATTTAGTGGAAGTTCTACAGGTCAGAGTAGGGTGTAACATTCAGAAGTCAAAAGGAAAGGCACCTGACCAGTCATGTCACTTGAAAAGCTACATTTTATATGTGTGCAAGGTAGCCAGGCTTTCCTCTACAGCTGATTAATGCAAGTTTTAAAAATTGTTTAACATTTGGTTCTTACTAAATGTAGTCTTTGACAAATGAGAAATCAAACAATAATAGATCATTTCACAATGAGATTTCTTCTTTCCTGTGGGAAAATGGTGCTTGTTATGCTTTAGTTATTTTATGCATGTCTACAAGTGTATAAGTTGCTCATGGAAGTCAGAAGATGCTTCCTTGCCTTAAGAACTTAGAATGCATATACTTGCTTAGAGTAATCACAAACTCTGCAGGACCATCTCCAGGCTTAGTACTAAGGATTATATATCTCTGATATCTGTACGGGCAGATCTGACTTTAAAAAGTGCCATTCTGCTTTCTTTCAGTGAGCTGGAGCGTCTGAGCAACCTAGTGGGTAAACCATCTGAGAACCACCCCCTGCACAACAGCGGACTCTTGAGCCTAGATCCTGTTCAGGACAAAACACCTCTTTACAGCCAACTTCTTCAAGCCTATAAATGGTCAAATAAGGTAACACAATACCTCTGGTTTTGATGTATTTAGTTGTGTGTTCCTACAGAATGTTTGGTTTGTGATACAGTAGACTTCTGAGTGTATGAGACTGTCAAAACCGCTATGTTTTTTATGAAGTGGAGGAGCATAATACGTTCCTAAATGTACTTTCAAGGGTAAAAACGGTGTATTAATTAAGAGGGGACTTTTCTGCAATTCTGAGGTATGCCCTTGTTTTTCAAAGGGGGTGTTAAGTCCAAGCAGAACAGTACTTTCCATGGTGGCTATTTAGCCACCATATGTTCTATTTTTTTGTTTAGTGTATGAATGTACCTAGAACTTAATCAGGTTTGTAAATCTGAAGGTGGATCATACCTATCTATATGACTCTTACTTTATCCTGCACAATTGGTTGCACAAGTAATAGCTTGTTTAATTCTGTTTTCTTAAATTTCAGCTGAGGGTGCAATAATGATCATTCTTTGTGGTTCATGAGATATTGGACATTAGAATTGTTATTTCTTGATGCTTGCAGCTTTGTTTCAATGCTGGGTCAAGCAAATGCCCAATTTTGATCAGGTATTGGATGTGTGGATAAGCTCTTTTGGTGAAGTGGCAGTTCTGGGTGCAAAACGTAGTGAAGTTCATACAGACATAAACAGAAAAGTTTTCTTTAATGTTTGCTCTAAGATGAAAATGTTAATTGGGAGATTAGACTTACCTGACACTTATTTACTACAATTCATACTTGTAGCTGTGGCTGGTTACATATTGTGAGAAGACCCACTTTTAGGTGAAGAATTACAGACCTAACTCTTTGGCTTAGTGCAGTAGAGGTGGGTTGCATGTAACTGTGAAATCAGAGGTATTTGCCAAGAACCTTATTTTACTTTTGCTGTGAGTCACAACACTAGTTCCTTTGTTTCTGAGTGTCTTAAGTTTGCCTGCTCGAGGAGTGCAGAAAAGTACAGTGGGATAACCCAAAACTTTCCCCACAGAAGTGTGTCATCTTGGCAGTGCTTGTTATTTATTAGCACCTGCCATCCTGATATTTACTTACAGTAGTTTACCAAATAGTTTTGCAGATGGTAAAGTTGTCTGTATAATGGAAGCAGCTGTTTGGGAACACAACAGCTTGTCAAATGCATTAATTACATACACATGCAGTTGTAAGGGAACTTTAGTTTTCCAGGTGTTTAACAGAGCTCACAAAGGACAGCTGAAAAACACAGGAAGCTTACGTTGATCTTACCACAAGCAACAGCTCAGTGGTTTTTCTTTTTTGCTTTAGCTTCTTTATGTATCAGTAGAAGTCATGTAGGTATATTACTTTGCTGACTGTGGGTTGCATGGAGGCATGTAGTACCTGTGGAACAGTATTTAGGTCTACTTGATGTGTTTTTTTCTCCCTGCTTTTCAAATTCAAGAAAAGAGATTTTCTTCATTACAATTGAAGTGCTGTTTCCTGGGAGGATGTATATGTGACCTCTAATGTAATAGTGAAGATATAATACTAGATAAGATAAAAATGAGCTATTGTTCTGTATGGGTAATGCAGATAAAGTGTTATTGGTAAGTTAGGAAGTTTGTAGGTTTGTTTCTTTTCCTGTAGACTGTTTAGTAACTGTAGTTGAATTCTGGTTCTAGTAGTTATGTACATCTCATCTGTTGAATTTTTTTGTAATATGAGTTTTATGTCTGAGCAGATGAAATCTAAGATGACAGTACCAGTCGAAGGCTTTCTGTTTTGTGTGTGTGTGGCCTGATACTACTTGGAACAGTCAGGACTGGATGTGCTGAGTGCTGCTGCCTTGCTTCTCGTTACCAGGTGCTTGCTTCTTGCATTATACTGGAATTCAAGGGAAACTACCACAGGGGAGAATGCATCAGCTCTAAGTTTAGATGAAGGGAATTTTAAAAGCACTTACTAGACTGAAATACTGATAAAGTTTTTAAAAGACATTTGACCTCTTATTTGTAATGACACTGGAAAATTGTTTCCATTGCTTTTTGGGACAATTCTATAAACAAGGCCCCCTGTGCTGGCTTTCCTTGTTCCTGGTTGCTGCTTGTTTTCTGAAGTAGACGAGACCATAATCTCATGAATAAGAGCATCATTACATGAATAAGAGCAACTGGGTGTTTCTTGATATTTCTTCTCAATACTGGGTGACAAAGGTGTTTTGTGGGAGAGAAAATGATGATGTGATCAAACCAATATTACGTGCCTATCCATATAGAAAATGTTTAGTAAAGCTTGTGCTTGTGTGGCTGCCTTATCCAATTAGGTTAATGCGGGTGGTCAGAGTAGATGCAGGTTTTGGGAATTCAGGAGTTTAAACTCATTCTTTGAGTGGTATAAACTTTTGGTTTTCATCTGCTGCTTTAGTGAGGTTATTTATTGCCTGTAGTGTGTATCCGTTCATCCTCTTTGCCCTTGGCAAAGCATTTGTATACCCTTGCCCTGTGCATGCCCGAGGCAGTGTCTGTTAAGGTGTTTCCATTGATTCCAGCGAAGCAGAAAATATACAGCATATTTCATGTGCACTGTGCAAGGCAAATGCTGTTGTAGGGCAAGTTTCCCTCTCTTAATGGGGTGTTGTCAGGTAGTTCATGCTCAGCATTTGAACTTTAGTCACTGCTAGAGAGACTGCTTATTTGCTTTTATTTATTTGAAGGGATATGCAAAATGGATCAACTACCAAACCAGCACTGTGGAATTACTCTAACAGACTTAAAGAAACATTTGAGGTTTTTGGATAGCAGCAAACTAAGTCTTAGTCTTCCCTGAGCTGCTGAATGATAGCAGTACTAGCAGAGTTTATTTGCCCAAGTGAAAATAGTCTTCTGTAAGTCACCTTTCCCTGTTTTTTTCTTTGCAGCAAGGAGTTTGTTCTCAGACTTTCAAACAATATTAAGAGCAGTAGAAGTGGGGAAAATTTAGAACAATTGTAGCCACAAACACATGATTTTAACTTGACTGAAGTGCAGTGTTGTATGTTGTATGCTCTGTTGTTTTCAGAACTGCATTTGTCTATTTGCTTTGCTCCAATTCCAACACTTCTATAGTTTGAACCTGTATATGTAGGTGTACATGAGTGGTGGTGGTGGTATGGTTTTCTCATAATGAGATGGTACTTAAAAATCATGATGACTATGTGTTTGGGAAGGCTGTTATCCACCACTTCAAGCAGAAAGTAAAAAAATCAACTTTTCTGACTTTGTAGGATTTACATCAGATTGTTTAATTTACTCATCTCTGAGGAGAAGGTTATGGCAACTTGTGTGTGTATTGTAAATATTCCAACTGAAAAAAGCTGGACAGGAGTTGTCATAAATGAATTTAAAAGTAATACACTGGCAAATACAAAATGGGAAAAAATATTACTGTTCATCTGCATGGTGAAATACACTGCAAAATATTTGGATTTAAATTTGTTACTTCATAGCTTCCTCTTGGTTTTACACAAATTTAAAATCGAACTGTTGAGACTGCCATTAATTAATTTAAAATTATTTTCTGTCATACAAAAGAAGAGAAAAGGAATTTATAGGTTTTGTTTATTAAATTATTTTGATGTGTTCCCTGATAAATTATTTGTATAAATTGTTTGTTGTAGGCCTCAAAAAAGAAATCAATAGAGCCTGTAGAGAAAGTCCAGGCTTGCTATGACTGCCCTTGGTAGCTTAGTATTGATTAGACACAAATATTGAGTTTAATGACAATAAATGGCATTAAATGTTAACCATAGTAGTAGAGGACCACTGTAGAATGAGGGGTTTTTGTTGTCATCTTGATTGTAAAACAAAATGTGCATTCCAAGGAGCATTAATTTTAGATTTTGGATGCGTTCAAACATTTTGAATTTAATGTAGTTTTACAATAGCATGGACAGTGTAACTGAATTATTATGTTGGCAGTTCTTCGGAAGTTCAGGCAGGTGGCCAAGATTTTGTCCTTTCAGGACTTTTTCTACAAAGATGCAGTGTTGTAATATTGTGACATGCTGTGTCATGGAGATCCAGCTTGTTCTGCTGAGATTTCATCCCTCCAAATTGGGAAACATTTTGTCCCCAGGTGTACTGCAGTATCAGTCAGTGACAGATGTATGGTATTGAGGAAAACTGTGTCATGATAACTGATTCATCTGTTTGCCCAGTGCTTCTGGAGGTAGCTCTTGAAGATCATCTGTGCTTGCAGGGGTGAGAGTAGGAAGGTTGGTGGTTTGGGTTGAGATCCTGATATCCTCAGTGAGCAGGAGCCCTGAAGTTATTGAAGTGAAGATTTGACATGACTAAAATCCCCTGGTTTGCTCACAGAAGGGAACAAATGGAAAAAAAAAATGTAAAATAAGATTTGAATTAAAGCAAAGTGATGAGTCCCTACAAGGATATCTCTGTTGCACTCTGAAGAGCACATTTAATCTGCTTTGTAAGAGCAGAATCAGTGCTTTGTAGAGGAAACTGGAGTGGAAAGGATCTTAGGGATTACCAGCTGTGGAGTCCTTTCCTGTGCAGATAAGCCATGGGAGTTTGTATTCCTGTCACTGGAGAAATGAATGATACATGAACTGGTGTTTTCTTGTACACAAGCATAAAATAGGAGATGGGCTTGGATTCTATTCTTGCTTTTCGTATTAATTTTCATTGTAACCTTGAACAGGATGCATGATTTCTTTTCTCTGCCTCATTTTTCTTAGGGATAAAATAGGATAATAATACTTAGCCTACTTCTTGGGAGAGTTTCTAGTCTAAATGTGTCTCAAGTGCATTGGGTTCTTTGGACAGAAATGCTTCGTAGATGCCGAGTATTATACAGCAAGTGACTAATGTTGTTTGCCTGGCAGTTTGGAAAAATGCCCTTTATAGGCTTTTAATTTTGTGTGAATTTAGGCAAATGTTCCAGTAAAATGCCCTTGCTGTTAAGAATTACATTAAATTTTCCCTTTTTTTCCATCTTTTTTCTTAATATGACTAGAAAAACATCTTTTTGCTCCCCGCTGCTCTAGTTATTAATT